AAAGGTATACGTCAGGGAGACCCATTATCACCATTTTTATTTCTCATTGTAGTTGAGGGTTTGAATGGGATGGTGACTGCAGCAATTGAAAAGCAACTGTATAAGGGAGTTAAGGTGGGCAAAGATGATATTACGGTCTCACATCTTCAGTTTGCAAATGACACAATATTTTTCGGGGAGGCAACTGATGAAAACATCTGGGCTATCAAATGCATAGTGAGATCCTTTGAGTTGGTTTCAGGGCTGAAAATCAATTATGCTAAAAGTCAGCTCATGGGTGTTAATGTGGAGGAAGCATGGGTAGAAAAAATGGCATATAGATTATACTGCAAAAGAAAAGATCTTCCTTTTAAATATCTGGGGATACCCATTGGGGGGAATCATAGAAGAATTGCAATGTGGCAAAATCTGATGGAATCAGTGAAAAAGAAATTAGCTCCATGGAAAGGCCGAAATTTATCCTTTGGGGGGCGCATCACGATCTTTAATTCCGTGTTGTCTAGCTTGCCCATGTTCTTAATGTCGGTCTACCTGCTTCCTAAAGGTATTATTCATTTTATTGATAAAATTCGCAAAAGTTTTTTATGGGGTGGGGAAGGTGAAGGTAGAAAAATTAATTGGGTTAAATGGGAGAAAGTTTGCAAAAATAAATTATGTGGGGGATTAGGAGTGAGAGAGATGAGGAAGTTCAACTTAGCCTTAATGGGGAAATGGTGGGGAAGGCTAGCAAGAAAAGATCAGGGATTGTGGGATAAGGTTATAGCTAGCAAGTATGGAGGGAGTGGAGGCCATTGGCTTGACTGGGTAAGGGAGGGGTGGGGAATAGGATCACTATGGTGGAAGGATGTGGGCTGCCTCAACAATGTTGATGAGGAGAAAGTAGGGTGGCTAACAGAGGGTTTTAAGTTAAAATTAGGAGATGGGAAAGGAGTAAGCTTTTGGAGAGATAATTGGGGTGGGGAGGGAGATCTTGCTAACCTTTTTCCAAGATTGTATAATTTGTCAACAGGAAAGGAGAAAAAATGTTGTCAAATGGGCAATGAGGAAGATGGAATGTGGAGGTGGAATCTAGAGTGGAGGAGAGCCTTATTCGACTGGGAAAGAGAAGAAGCAGCAGAACTACAACGAAAGATTGATAGCATGCGGATATACAAGGACATCCCCGACACATGGAAGTGGGAGCATAGCAAGGAAGGCAACTACTCAACTAAAACAACTTACAAATTGTTGACAAACGAACTTAATGGACAGGAAGCAACTCAAATACACAAGAGAGTGTGGAACCCAATCATCCCAAGCAAAATTTCAGCTTTTAACTGGCAGCTACTGCAGGACAAAATTCCAACAAAGAGCAACCTGCAAAGAAGAGGAATAACCACTGAATTGGAAGATGGAATCTGCACTTTATGCGAGGAGGAGATCGAGGACTCGAATCATCTTTTCCTGAGGTGCAAGGTGGCAAAGTGGCTATGGAAGGCTTGTGGGAAATGGTGGGGAATCTCAGTTAATTTGGAAAATGATTGCTGGAAATCCTTTGAGCAATTTGGGCTATGGGCCAAAGAAACACGAGTAAAGGAAGGTTGGGATTGTATATGGAACATTGTGGTGTGGACCATATGGCTCGCAAGAAATCAAAAGATATTCCGAGACTCCGACATCAACAAAAGTAAGTTGCTTGACCACATTCAACTAAAATCATTTTGGTGGATTAAATCAAGGAAATCTAGATGCTTGTTTAGTCTTTATGATTGGTTATACAACCCAATGACATGCCTCAAAGTTAACTGTGGTAGGAAATAGAGACTTGAATCATTCTTGGCTGAAATGGTCAATATGATAGGTGGGATGGATTGAAACCTGCAGGTTGATTTAATGGTAGCATTGAGCAACTTATTGACTCTTGTTGGTTATTAGACAGAGTCAGTAGATGCTCAATAAGTACCTAATTTTGTAATATGGGCAGGAGTACCCCTTGTACTCTATTTAATAATCTATATTTGCTGTGCAAAAAAAAATGATACATTCCTAGGTAGAAGCAAGCAAACAACATCTTCATATGCGGTTATTTATCCTAGTGCAAATGACATTTTTTCAATGTTTGTGAGTGCTTAGTTATATTTTTTTGACACATTAAAAGTTAATCACATAGTATTTCAGACATTAAATCTTTAATTTTGATATTGAATTAAAGTTTTTAGTTATTATTAAGTCTTGATTCGATTAAATTCTTGTAGGTATACATGACTCTCACATTAACAATTTTTTTTTCACAATTCTTGCATAGAAATGAAATTTCAATGTGAGACTCGATACAACAAGTACGTAGCAGAAAACAGGGGAAAAGTGCTGAGTGATTGTAGTTATATTTGTTTAGATTTTATAAGTGAAATTTCTCTTCATAAATGTAATGTAAAATAAAAAAGAAGGAAGCCAAAATTCTCATGAGAATAATCCTCGCTGCAATAAGCATTGAAAACCACGTGGGCAATATATCAAAGAGAACAACATTTTATTGTTCGAATGACACAAGAACCGTCCAAACAGGATGCAATTGCCTTAATACAATGCTACGTACCAAAAAAAAATTTATATATATAATAATAATAATAACAAACTAGGCAATCCTCAACATTCAGGAGTGCGGAAACAATGGAGGAAAGACACTGATGAGCAGAAAACGGAGGATGCGTGATACATTCAGCTATACTTGTAGGGCTCATGCACTACAGCTAGGCAGTCCTGCCGGGGCGGGCAGCAAATTGGGGCCGTTCTTCACAATCAGAGCTGTAGACATACCCCAACTGGCATGTGATTCAAAATGACAATGCATAAACCATACCCCTGAAAGATATAACAAAGTAGAAGATCAGTTTTCTTAACTTAATAAGAAAATTTTATTTGGAGAAACAAAACATATAGTATATACAGATATGACCTATGTCAATACTGAATATGATGTAGATTTGAAAATTAATTACCAGGATTATTTGCAAAAAATCTGACGGCTATCCATCCACTCCCAAAAACAACAGCAGTGTTCAGCTCTGGTGGATCATCCGTGTTATATGAAGCAGGGTCAGTTGAATTGTCAAACGTTCCATTATTCATGCCAACTTGGAAGAAGCTGAAACCATGCAAATGTAGTGGATGACCCCCAGCAGGACCAGCATCTATTGCCTGGTACACAATCTCGACTGGATCTCCATAATTCAATTCAATCACATTCGTTCCTTGGTAAGCATAGGTTGCATTTTCCAGTTCTTCGTCCGGAGAAAGTGGATAACTTGTGTTGTAAAGACTTGTGTTGCCCCTGTCCAAGTAAAGAAAATGTATAACCGTGTACATAATTGGTTTTTCTAATAACGTACACATGGAAACATTTGATACAAGTGAAAGAAATATATATTTTCTGTACATACCCGACGTAAGCCCGCAGAAGATCGAGCTCAGTTGGGGCTGCAAAACTAATTCTGTTAAAGCTTGCAGCACTTTTGGTCCCTGCAGATGGACAAGTAGATGAACCAGAGCAATTTACTGTATCTACACGGACCGTTAGAATGATCCGTTTAACAGTAACATTGCCGCGGGGGACTTCTGTATCTGTTCTGGAATTTTTGCTTCGGAGTCCGGCTGTGAAATTAAATGCAGTGGAGTTATCTTTAGCACCAGGGAGGGTTGGGAATGTCGTATTGACTGTTGAATCGACAGGGTTTGAGTATATGAGAAATCCTGTGGTGTTTTGGTCATTAGTGTCAACACTACTATCATCAAAATACCGGTAAAGCATGTAATATCGACTTTGGTTCTGGTTTGCCTCGAATGTAACATCCATGGTTTGCCCTGGGTATAACAGAACATATGGGGTGGAAAAGTTCTTGACTAACGCCCCATCTCGTGCAACAACCGTTAGGTTATGCCCCGTGATGCCAAAATACTGTGGCTCATGCATTGCCGCGTGGACAAGGCGGAGAAGATAAGTTTCACCATGTTCAACTGTCATGTTATATATCGGCTCCGAAACTGCAAAGTGAAAAGTAAATAAGTTTGTTGTGAAGTGGAAAGTGTCAACCAAGCACAATATATGCTAGAAAAGTTTTTTTTTGCTCATCAATTTTTTCAAAGAATTGACTTCTCCATACCATTGTTGCATGTAACTTGATCTCCAGGGTAGCCGTTGAGGGTATAGCCGGCCGCATCAGCTGTTGCACTACCATTGGCCGATATGATATCGCTTATTTCTTTCAAATCTTGATTATACCATGTTGCTGCCAGACAACATAAAATGGAGCGTTAAGATCCATATCGCATACAAAAAATAAAATATAAGTTATTTGACTCCATATTCTCCTTTAAGTAGAATGTGGATTACAGTTGTTCCTACCTAACCCATTGAATTATATGTAGAAGGTGTATTTCCTCTAGGCTGCAAAAATTTGAAAGTCGGAAGATGTAATTACCGAATACAAGTGTGTAATTTGGAAATCGATATGGAGAGTCCGCCAGTTCATCTGAAGATGGTAAGATGATGAAAGCACCATGAACAGTGGCGCGAGACCAATCACTGTGAGCATGCCACCATAAAGTCCCTATCTCATCAGATGTTATGACTTCATAGGTAAAATTTTTCCCTGGTTGAATCAAACATTGTGTTACATTTTCTGGACCATCAGACCACGGATTCCTTGGTTGCTTCACTCCGTGCCTAATGTGAGTAAAAAAATAGTTTTCTTTAATTTCATCATTAATTGGAGGTAGAAAACTACATTTTTATCTATGAAAATTAGTAAACTATTTCATGATTTGGACATGAACCATACCAGTGTATGGTGATACCGTAACCTGCATCATTCTGGACATTAACATGCACTGTCTGTCCTTTTTGAACCCGAATCTCTGGTCCAGGAAACATGCCATTTACAGTCAAGATGCTCCTAGTTTCGCAAAATTTGGTAAAATTTGCCTGCTCCACCTGCATTCAGTCCAGTTCCCATCAAAATATACTCATCATTAATTCTTAATAAAACAAGAATCGATTTCTACTGCTTGTATCTAGTTGGATTAATGAAATTCACATTTCACCCAAAAAAGAGATATATAGTGAAGAAGATGAAGAAAATTGACAGAACTTACAACAAAATTGTATTCAACTGCAGTAGCCTGAGCTCTAACGACCGGAAACCGGGCGCTGAGAAATGAAAGGACTAGGAAACTTAGGATGAGAAAACTCATCTTGGATGAACAACACATTAGCATTTTTAGAGAATACTATGTGTGTTTTCAGGTCGCCACCTAGCTTTGTTGTGCATTTTATTGTCTGGGATATGGGGCTATTTATAGATGGAGCTTTGAACAGCAGCTTCATTAGTTAATGATATATATTCAAATTTATTACTCTGTTTTACTCGGAGTTTGAATATTACCAATTAGCTGTAATGTTTTTGTACTGATTCGGCTTGTTGCAATGATTAAACAGTAATTAAAGCCCGCCTTGTGGGGGCCCAATGTAGGGTAATTAACGTTGACTTCTAATCAAGTATGTAGTAAGTTGCTTCTGTGAAATATCATGCTTTTATCTTCAAGCCTCATGTTTTGCATTGAAGAAATCGTGTTGTCGTTTACGCGTTCTTCAATAGAGACTCCCTTGGCCTATTTTTTATGAACTCTAGTTACATCGTAATCATTATAACAGAAAAAGATTATATAAAAATCTCAATAATTTAAGCTTTATATATACATAACAAAGTCAAATTAAATTTGTAACATTAGTCACATATGATTACATTTATTAAAAATTAAATATAAAGAATTATCGATTACTAAATATTACACAAGTAATTGTTGTACAAGTGCAAACCAATCCTATCAAACTATTTGATTGTGTGTCTAAAATTGGGAATACTTGATTATAAGGCAAAAACAATTAGTCGAAAACCCCACCCCACCCCAACCATGTCATAAACAATTGAAATTAATGCTACAACCCATCCGGCAGCCCAACTAGCTCCACGTCATGAGCCATCTTCTGTAAAGCAAGCGTCCATAATTCAAGAGATGAGTGTCCTTCAAGCAAGACAGATTTCTAAAATCGCAAGAGGGATGACTATATATGATTTAAGCAAGGCATTAATTTCCCAAGACTCAATTAAGCATTAAATGACCAAATCGGGATCTTGAGTAATTTGGGATCAAGGGCTCCAAATCAATATATCGAGTGATATAGGTTTATAGCTATTTTCACATTTATTTCTTTTAGACTGGTTGTGTTTGGGGTTGTGGTTTTACCATGCCTTTTCACACGGTAGCTCATTAAAAGTGTTAAACTTTTAGAAAATAATGATATATTTTTTAATTCAACATATATTTCAACATTTATCTAGTTTAACTATTAAAATAGGACAATAATTAATACACCATTTGATTCAACATATCTATCAATACTAATCAATTCAGTTATTAAATTTTACTGGTGATATTTTTCCTATCTTGAATTTAAATTTGAAAATAATAATTTTTTAATAAATGTGTCATAAAATATGTTAAATTAAAAAGTGTACTAATCGTTATCCATTAAAATATAATATAAGTATAATTAATTTTAACTAGTTCGTGCATGTTATATGTATGATTGCATTTTTAAATTTATCTGTTGTTAATTTCAAACTAAAAAATAATTATTTTTTAATAAGTATATTGGGTAATGTGTTTAATCAAAGGATATACTAATAAGTGCCTTAAATTATTATAATTGAAATTGATTTTAATTGATATTTGTCATGACACTTTTTTCAAAATAATTATCAAATAATAATATAATTTTTATAATAATAGAATATTCAAAAAACCACAGTCATAATACTTCACAATAATCCCAAACGAAGATATTATAATTACACAATGTATATATATTGGTAAATCACAACCTCTTTCGTATCTTGAGAAAGAGGCATTTTCTCACAAACATCCTTCCTCACTTTTGTCTTACATGGTATCAAAGCAAGCTATATTCTTGTTAAGCTTGTTGTTAGCCTCTGTAACAAGATCTAAAGTTTATATTAAACCTCCATATAAAAGGACATATCAAGTAACATAATATTACATCAAATACATAAAGTTCATATCGAGTCTACATATGAAGGGACATCTTGAATGGTAAAATTTCAAATTAAAGAATAACAAAAAAACATGTGACTTGAATAAAATGAGAGCTTCCACTTATTGGCCAATTGGTTTTGAGTTTTATACAAGTCATATTGAAGTTTATATACTCAATTTTCACATCTTCTACCTTAGGCAAAACCCAACGAAAGTACATTAAGAGAGCCAAAGCAAAAACCCCCCAA